GTGCCAGCGTTGTAGATCACCACGTCCGGGCTGTGCTCCTGCAGGGCCTTCTCCATGTTCCTCTCCACCTTGTGCAGGTACTCCTCGTCCTCCGTGCCCCAGTCCAGCTCCACCTTGCGCCTGATGGCCTCTGGGACAGGGGGACACAGAGTGCCCATGTGCAGGGGAACTGCGGCTCAGGATGGGGAAGCCGGTGAGCCGTCGGGGCTCAGTCACTTGGACCACACTCGTGGCACTCACCGGCACCCCAGGCAGCAGTGGCCCTGTTATGGTCTGGGTATGGGGTACCACCCAGGCCCAGGGGAGAAAGGCTGGGAGACAACCTGTGGAAGCACCAGAAGGGGCTGGACCTTTAAGAGGAGGAGTCAAATGGAAGGAAGTGATGTCACTAGGGGCGAGGCAGGGCCTTTAAGAGGCAGAGCCAAATGGAAGGAAGTGATGTCACTGGGGATGTGGCCAAACATTTAAGAGGTGGAGCCAAGCAAAAGGAAGTGATATCACTGGGGGTGTGGCTAAACCTTTGAGAGGTGGAGCCAAGCAAATGGAAGTGACTTCACTAGGGGCGGGGCTCCACTGCTCTCTCTGCTGCCCCTCTGCTCCCTGCCAAGACCTGCTGCTCTGCCACAGGCCCCCAGCCATGGAGCCAACTGTCCACAGACCTGAGCCCTCAAAACACTGATCCAGACCCACCTGTCCTTCCTGTAAGGTGGCCACCTCAGGTGTTTTGTCACAGAGGTGAAAAGCTGAGGGACCCACAGAATGGGCAGGTTCCCGCCCTCCAGCCTCATCTGGGCATCTCACACTAAGTTGCTGAGGCTGGCCTCCACCCCCTAATCCTCCTGCCTCAGCCTCCCGAGCTGCTGGGATTATAGGCGTGTGCCACTGTGCCTGGCTCTAGTGACTTCTTCAGGTCCTAGCGTCCTGATGTGTCAAAAGGGAACAACCCCCACCTGGTAGGGATACTGAGAGAAAAGGAGGAGGCTTCTATGGGGTTCGGAATTTAGGATGCGCAGCGAGGCATCCCCCTCTGAGTAAGCATGCATTGGGGATGCACGGGACAGCAGCTTACGCTTGGCAAAGCGGTCCCCGGGGTAGATGTGGCGGTTGTAGACGTCCATGATATACACACGCTTGTCGTCCATGAAGTCCCGCTCGTGCCCGTTGCCCTGGGAGGACACGGAGGCTG